CGGGGGGTACAGCAGGGGGCGCTGTGCTGTGGAGGGGGGGGTCACAGTGGGGAGTGTTGTGCTGTAGGCGGTGAGGGCACAGCAGGTGGTGCTGGGCTGCGGGGGTAGGGACACAGCAGGGGGGCTGGGCTGCAGATGGGGACACAATGGGTGGTGTTGTGCTGTGGGGGCCGGGGTACAGCAGGGGTACTGTGTATCTCAGGGTGTGTACTCGTGGTGTCTGTGCACTCTCAGGGTGTATGTGTTCAGGGTGTCTGTGCATTCTCAGGGGGTGTCTGTGCACTCTCAGGGGATATGTGCTCGGGGTGTCTGTACACTCAGGGTGTTTGCACTCACTGTGTCTGTGCACTCTCAGGGGGTGCGCTCGGGGTGTCTGTGCACTCTCAGGGTGTTTGCACTCGCGGTGTCTGTGCACTCTCAGGGGGTGTGCTCGGGTGTCTGTGCACTCTCAAAGGGTGTGCTCGGGTGTCTGTGCACTCTATTTCGAATTAACTAATTCGAACTAAGTTAGTTCGAACTAGCGCTGTAGTGTAGACGTACCCTCAGGGGGTACGCTTGGTTGTCTGTGCACTCTCAGGGGGTATGCTCGGGTGTCTGTGCACTCTCAGGGGGTATGCTCGGGTGTCTGTGCACTCTCAGGGGGTATGCTCGGGTGTCTGTGCACTCTCAGGGGGTATGCTCGGGTGTCTGTGCACTCTCAGGGGGTATGCTCGGGTGTCTGTGCACTCTCAGGGGGTATGCTCGGGTGTCTGTGCACTCTCAGGGGGTATGCTCGGGTGTCTGTGCACTCTCAGGGGGTACGCTCGGGTGTCTGTGCACTCTTGGGGGTACTCTCGGGTGTCTGTGCACTCTCAGGGGGTACGCTCGGGTGTCTGTGCACTCTTGGGGGTACTCTCGGGTGTCTGTGCACTCTCAGGGGGTACGCTCGGGTGTCTGTGCACTCTTGGGGGTACTCTCGGGTGTCTGTGCACTCTCAGGGGGTACGCTCGGGTGTCTGTGCACTCTTGGGGGTACTCTCGGGTGTCTGTGCACTCTCAGGGGGTACGCTCGGGTGTCTGTGCACTCTTGGGGGTACTCTCGGGTGTCTGTGCACTCTCAGGGGGTACGCTCGGGTGTCTGTGCACTCTTGGGGGTACTCTCGGGTGTCTGTGCACTCTCAGGGGGTACGCTCGGGTGTCTGTGCACTCTTGGGGGTACTCTCGGGTGTCTGTGCACTCTCAGGGGGTACGCTCGGGTGTCTGTGCACTCTTGGGGGTACTCTCGGGTGTCTGTGCACTCTCAGGGGGTACGCTCGGGTGTCTGTGCACTCTTGGGGGTACTCTCGGGTGTCTGTGCACTCTCAGGGGGTACGCTCGGGTGTCTGTGCACTCTTGGGGGTACTCTCGGGTGTCTGTGCACTCTCAGGGGGTACGCTCGGGTGTCTGTGCACTCTTGGGGGTACTCTCGGGTGTCTGTGCACTCTCAGGGGGTACGCTCGGGTGTCTGTGCACTCTTGGGGGTACTCTCGGGTGTCTGTGCACTCTCAGGGGGTACGCTCGGGTGTCTGTGCACTCTTGGGGGTACTCTCGGGTGTCTGTGCACTCTCAGGGGGTACGCTCGGGTGTCTGTGCACTCTTGGGGGTACTCTCGGGTGTCTGTGCACTCTCAGGGGGTACGCTCGGGTGTCTGTGCACTCTTGGGGGTACTCTCGGGTGTCTGTGCACTCTCAGGGGGTACGCTCGGGTGTCTGTGCACTCTTGGGGGTACTCTCGGGTGTCTGTGCACTCTCAGGGGGTACGCTCGGGTGTCTGTGCACTCTTGGGGGTACTCTCGGGTGTCTGTGCACTCTCAGGGGGTACGCTCGGGTGTCTGTGCACTCTTGGGGGTACTCTCGGGTGTCTGTGCACTCTCAGGGGGTACGCTCGGGTGTCTGTGCACTCTTGGGGGTACTCTCGGGTGTCTGTGCACTCTCAGGGGGTACGCTCGGGTGTCTGTGCACTCTTGGGGGTACTCTCGGGTGTCTGTGCACTCTCAGGGGGTACGCTCGGGTGTCTGTGCACTCTTGGGGGTACTCTCGGGTGTCTGTGCACTCTCAGGGGGTACGCTCGGGTGTCTGTGCACTCTTGGGGGTACTCTCGGGTGTCTGTGCACTCTCAGGGGGTACGCTCGGGTGTCTGTGCACTCTTGGGGGTACTCTCGGGTGTCTGTGCACTCTCAGGGGGTACGCTCGGGTGTCTGTGCACTCTTGGGGGTACTCTCGGGTGTCTGTGCACTCTCAGGGGGTACGCTCGGGTGTCTGTGCACTCTTGGGGGTACCCACACGCTGCCCTGGCTGGGCCTCCCCTCCCTCCTCCTCCCCGGCACTCGCGGTGCCCCTGCAGGCTTGGATCCCGGCCCTCGGCACTTCCCCCGCCTCGGCCCAGGGGAGCCACCCAGGCTGCGTGTGTCTGTCTGCGGGGGACCGGCTGGGGCCCCCCGCGCCTGC